TGGAATGTAAAGTACACCACTGGATCTTAGCCATATTATTTCTCCTATCAGCTACTCTGGCTGAATTTTCAATGCAATTTCATTTTGTTTGCCAAATTTGTTAGTTACTGCTTTCATACTGCATAATTTGATAGAATAATCACTGAAGTTGAGGGACACTCAGTCAAAGTTATACACTTGCCTAACATTGAAAATTATTTGCTTCACCTGGTGTACCCATTCATCTTGTTTAAAACTGGCCAGTTTGGATTGTACGCACTCGACCCGTTGCTAGCCTTCACATATTCAGACTCCGTTGGGACAAGGGCTTATGAGAATATGAATAAGTACAGCATATGAATGAGAACAGCTTCATGGAACAATCTGAAACCAAGTAATTTAAATCCATTATTTAAATCACAAAGGGAAAACACCCTATATATGCCATTGGTTTTAATCAGCTATTCAATGCTGAAACTGATGCAATGTATTTTCTAAGTCAGCATGATATAGTAGTTTGAGTTTGGAGGATGACTGTGGAAACCAGGATTTGAATCCCTGCTGGGCCATGGAAATCCACTGAGTGACCTTGGCCAAAGGCAAACCCCCATGAACAAATCTTGGCCAAGCCTCAGAGGAAGGCAAAGGAAAATCCCCTCTGAAGAAATCTTGCCAGAAAACCTTGTGAGGTATCTTCAAGTCACCTGTCAACTTATGATGACCCCTTTGCCTAAGGGGTCATCATAAATTGCCACTTCATTTCCATATACAAAGGCTGGTTCCCAATGCCTTTGTTCACAAATGGCCATAGTTAAAACTGGACTTGCCACTTCATTTCCATACACAAAGGACTCTGAATTCAAATTGATATTCTCACACACCTATGGCATATATATATCTGTCCCTGGCTTTCTACTTCACCAAATGCATCTGAGGAAGTAGGCTGAAGAAAGCTCATGCTGCCAACTTCTTTCTTTCAGTTAATCTCAAAGGTGCTACAAGATCTCTCTACATACCTTTGGCTAAAGGTTTTTTTCAGAGAAGGAATATTTAGAGGTGATTTTGCCAGTTCCTTCTTCTGAAACATACCCTACAGCACCTGGCATTATTTAGCTGCCTCCCATCCAAGTACTAACCAGGACTTAACTTCCAAGATCAGCCAGGATCTGGTGCCTATAGAGACTTATTACTGAATTCAAGTAGACTGAGGACACAAAACCCCAGAGTACAAGTTCATCCATATAAATCTGAAGATAAATTGATGGCATCTTCTAGATTCCAGCAATAAGCTAATCATCTCTGGTTCACAATAATCAATGCAATATATGGAAGTTATGGCATTTATAGTGCTTTACTATGGACTCCTTGTTTTATCAACAAGCTTTTAATTTTGACTGTCAGGGATGATGAAGCTTTAAGGAATCTTATGCTCATTTGGACCTAAACACAGTTTCCCACTTTCTATTTGTCTCCCAAGAAACCCTAATATGCTCACAAACACTGACCTCTGAGACTGGAACAACATTGCAAACCACATTGTATTAGTTTGGATGCAAGACCAACCTGCAAAATGAATGTATGGAGAATCTTTGGCTCTCCAGATATTTTGGACCTCAGTTACCAGAAATCACAGCCTGCACAGGCAATGGTGCAGAATTATAGAAGATTTCCTCTGAAGAGTCAAAGTGTCTCTCCACCTGGCCTTCACGGTGGCCTGCATACCAACTTCAAACCCTGTTTCAGATCAGGGTCCCCTTCACATTACACAATTATATGCTACTTTAAATGTCAAGTGACATAGCAGTAACATAGTTTTCCAAAATTATTTTGGGATTATAGGGTCACTTTAGGATTGCCATGTGTCAGAAACGTCTTGAAGACACACAACAAAATAGGTAAACGAGAACCAGCATGGTTTTAGCATTGGACTATGACTCTGGAGGCTAGAGTTCGAATCCCCGCTCAGCCATGGAAACCCATTGGGTGACATGGGCAAGTTATACTCTCTCAGTCTCAAAAAGTCAAAAGGCAACCAACTCCTTCTGAAAAAATCTTGCCAAGAAAACCCCACAACAGGGTCACCTCAGGGCCGCCATTTAAATTAGAAAAGACCTGAAGGCACTGCCAACAACAAATATGTGAGCACCTTGTCTTAAACATTTTAGTCATCATTCTATAAGAAAATATTTTAGAATCCTTTCCCCCCTTTTATATTAGGAACAAAAGGCTTCAGGGGGAAATGGTGAAAAGAGTTTTTACCATTTTTTTGGTTTTGTTTATTTTTTCTAGGGTCTTCACATCTCTAGGGCTTATATGTTAGCTAACCCTGCTGTGGAAGAACAGGTAATGTATAATAAAAAATAGAGAAAGACCACAGTTTGTTGACAGAACATCTATTTTACATTAATCTCATATTGGTGGGTTAGGGTTTCTGTCTGAAACCCAGGAGAACCGCCGCCAGACAGTTTAGGCAGTACTGAGCTAAATGGATCAAAGGGATTGACTTGGTTTAAGGCAGTTTCCTATGTTTTCCTAAAGGTATCACCTTGACAGTGGGCCTTTGCAGACTGCTAGAAATAGTGCATATTGAGTCCACTTTAAGGGTTAGGGTTAGGGAATCATGGGAACTGTATTTTATTGTGGCACCAGAGCTCTCTGACAGAGAAGGCTCAATGTCTCAGAAAAAAAAACAATTCCCATGATTCCCTAGCACTAACCCTAACCCTTAAAATGGACTCAATTTGCACTATTTCTGGCAGTCTGCAAAGGCCCAGTGTTTTAAACTCCAACATGCTTCTTTAGAGAGCCAGCATGGCACAGTGGTTTGAGTGCTGGATTGCGACTCTGGAGACCAGGGTTTGATTCCCAGTTCAGCCATAAAACCCACTGGGCAACTTTGAGCAAGTCACACTCTCTCAGCCTCAGAGGAAGGCAATGGCAAACCCTTCTCTGAACAAATCTTACCAAGAAAACCCCATGATAGAGTTGCCTTAGGACCACCATAAATTGGAAACAACTTGCAGGCCCAGAGCAACCACTGCTCCCTAAAACAGAGGCAGCAAAAGGGTGGCCCAAGGGCTGCAAATCGCCACCAAGGCTGTTTTTGTCACCTTCAGGAGCCAGGCAATATTTAAGATGTTATTTT